ACGTTACTTTCGTAAAAGCACTGCTGTAAAACAAACAGGAATGTTCCGTTCACTAAAGAGCTATTTACCTTTGAAGGGAATATAATAAGATGGTTTTTTAAAATTTGTTCCTGTGATATAACCAACAAAAAAAAAATAATAATTCCGTTTCAGTACTGAATTCAAATAAGCCATTCAGCATTAATCGTTTTTTTTTTTTTTTTTAGGTTAAAATTAAATATAGCCTGGAGTTTTGGCTATTAATTTATGATGACATTATCAGAAAGGTGTCTCTCCAAGTGAGAAACGGATTTTGATAACGGCTGAGAGGTTAAAACTTGCACAAAATATTCTGTCATATGACATATTTCGAATATCTCCGTTTCTCAGCTACTACTGTTTGTTCGAACTTCATTAGACTGATGAGTTTGTGCTTGTCTCGTATTGATTAATGGATTCAGACCAAAAAAAAAATCATCTTAAACTGCATTATCTATTATTTCGATCATTTCTGACTTAACGCAAAAAGAAAATAATTACTAATGCATTACTAATGTGTTTTACAAAGAAAAAAAAAAAAGAAAAAGAAGTTGGGCTCTCCTTAGATAATACAGATGCATATTTTGATCATTTCTACAGCTGAAATGCTTGACAGTCTATTAATTGCTGGTTGGCTGATCTCGACTTCAAGCCCGTTCTGATTGCACTGTCAACAAAGTTTTTGCCTGTTATGTCTAACGCAGCCTGTATTGTCTCTCGCTGATCTGTGTTTGCTTCTTTATCTTGGAACAAACTGTTACAGTAAGAAATACAGAATTTCTTCAGGCTCAAGGTATTACCCAGTCTGCCATGACGATCCTTCGAATTCATTGACCAATCTGTGAAGCTCATTCGATTGCCCGTTAAAACTCATTCGCTCATCTGGCACCGACTTCAACTAAACCTAACAGAGTGACCTGCAGCAGACGAAGCTAAACCTAGCTATTCGCGATAGAGAACATATTCAAATGTCCTTCATTAAAGCAGATATCACTCCAGAGCTTCTTTTGTAAATTCAGATTCACTCGTGCTAAAACGATAATTGAGTTCGACCAAAGTGGCTTCACCCATTTCCTTTAAACAGTCTCTTAACTAGATGAAAACCGGCATCATTTCATATGAAGCGCTGAATTAGGATCGCTATGAACCCACCGTACGCCTAACACGTGAACTCCTTAAAAAATGTTGCTCTCTTTCCACCTGCCAACAAATGCCAAACTATTCGGAAGATTGGAAACTCCTTTTAAGTTATTCCTGGAACTAAACAAATAAAGTCAAAATCGGACAATTCCCAGAAGTGAGTTGGGCTCTAGCTCAAATTAGCCCACACATGATAAGGCTTAGTAACTGTTGTTTGACTTGGGAGAAAGGACGAGGAAAAATATGGGAGTGATCACAGAAAATGCGAGTGCTGGCTGGTATGAGTGTATTGGAACTATTGTGGAAATAAACTTTTACAAACGAGACTATTTGAAGTCTTCGAGTTTGTACTTGCAACCACTTGAATATGCAGACATTTGGTATTGATTAGCCTATAAGAAAAGCATGATTAAGACAACTAATGAGATGTAAGTGTAATAATACATTTTAGTCAACACTGAACAAAACGCCTAGCGGTTTACCATGAGTCTGGTTTTGCATTTTACATGCTGTGTAAAATGTCAAGAATTGTAAGTAAAAACAGAACGCAATGATTGGCAGAGCTCGTAAACCCGTATTTTATTCACAATAGAACGTAGAAAACATATCAAATGTTTAAACTGAGGAAATGTACCGTTTTACGGAAAAAATAAGGTCATTTTGAATTTGATGGCCACGACATATCTCCAAAAAGTTGGGACGGGGACAACCAATGGCTGGAAAAGTAAGTGTTAGTTAAAAGAAACAGCGGAGGAACATTTCGCAACTAATTGGATTAACTGGCAACAGGTCAGTAAGATGACGGGTATAAAAAGAGTATCTTGGAGAGGCGGAGTCTCTCAGAAGTAAAGATGGGATGGAATTTGGATGGAAGCATGTGTTGGTCTAAAACCTGCATATACCTTTCATCATGATGGTGCCTTTCCAGATGTGCAAGCCACCCATTCAATAGGCACTAATGCACCCCTATAACATCAGAGATGCAGGATTTTGAACTGATAAAAAATCCTAATTGTCCCTCTCCTCTTTAGTCCTCTTTAGATTAGAGGACACGGCGTCCATGGTTTCCAAAAAGAATTTCAAATTTTGATTCGTCTGACCACAGAATGGTTTTCCACTTTGCCTCAGTCCATTTTAAATGAGCTTTGGCCCAGAGAAGACAGCTGTGTTTCTGGATCATGTTCACATATGGCTTCTTCTTTGCATGATAGAGCTTTAACCAGCGTTTGTGGATGGCACGGCGAAATGTGTTTACAGACGAGGAGTTCTGGAGGTGTTTCTGAGCCCATGCAGTGATTTCCATTACAGAATCACGCCTGTTTTTAATGCAGTGCCGCCTTGTAGAAATAATGTGGAATAATCTTCTTCAGGAAATAGACACTCTAAAAGTCTCTGGGTCTTGATGTCAAAAAAAGATAGACTTTATGAGCCAAACAACAAAGTCGAGCTGGTCTGCAAAGCAACTGATTTAAAAAATAGTCTGCATTTTATAGCGCCTTTTAACCTTAGCGGTTCTACAACCCTACGATTAGTGGACATGCCGCTCTACCACCTGAGCCACAACCGCCCCATATAAGCAATTTCGGTACAAGCTGTTATATAATTCTGAAACACTCATCTCATCTGACAGGGATTTCCCTTTTTTTATTTTTATAAATCACACCCTGGCCTCACGCCACTATTATTTCCAACTCCTACTTTACCCTCCCTGACTTCCTTTTAATGGTGGTGTGGTACAGCCAGCTCTCTTTTTCTTTTTTAAATTAGATTACATTCCAAAAGACTGCATACATTCCCAGCACAGACAGGTATCAGGATACTGTTTCAACATTTGGGTACACGTTTAATCAAAAGTTTTAGTGGATAAATTAATTTCCTTGATTAACTTGTTTCTTTGATTAATCACTCGAAAATGGTCTTTCGCACCTTGGTTATACATGAGCTGGTTAAATACTGATTGGCTCTTTCGACTGCTCCCGTTCGGGGTTGCCATAGCGGATCACCTGTCCACATATTTTGATTCTGGAACAAGATTCCCATCCTGACACAACTCTCCCCATTTCCAGGCTTGGGACCGGCACCGAGAGCGCACGGCCTCATGCAACCCTCCAGCAAATGTGGATCCTGACCGGGTCTCGAACCCGGGCCGAGGAGATAAGAGCGCTGCATGCTAGCCACTAATCAGCATTTACTTCAATACAGTTCAGGCTGAGTTGTCAACACTGAACAATAAAATATAGACAGTGTTTAAAGGGACTTGCCAGATAAGTGACCCTTCCTTGGGTTTTAGGTACGTCTTTGACTTCCGAGCACAGGTAAAAACCCTAAAACTAGTGCTTGTAATAAAAAGTCAAAGCAATACGTTTGCATAAACATTTGATGTACATAGTAGGCATGCAACTTTTGGTGTGACATCCATATATACAGTTCATTGTGAAAACATTCCTATCTTTGGGATTTATAGAGAGACAGCTGACCTGTGTGAGTTGATCATAATTACTACAGACATCCTCCAGCAATATTACTTCACAGTAACCGAATAGGAATACATTACTGGGAATCAACAGATACTGTGTTCTAAACAGATAGCAATGCAGCTACAAATAGGCAGCTCATTGTTCTTTTTTTGGGACTGGAATCCCGCAGGACCAACCAAAAAATTGCGTGAGTGGGAGTTTTTTTCTTTAATGCACATGAGCAGTCTCAAAACGCTCATAGCACGGAGAAAGACCACATTCATTAACATACAATGGTGCTTAAAGGTTTTTAGATATCTGCCTAAATATGACCTGAAATATATCATCAGATTTTCAAAACAAGTCAGAAGAGAACCCAATTAATCAAATGAGACAAAAATATTATGCTTGGTCATTTAATGATTGAGGAAAACGATCCAATATTACAGATCTGTGAGTGGCAAAAGTATGTGAACTCTTGAAGTTGCCTCCAAGATGGTTAAGAGAGACAACTCTTGCAGTTGCCTCTAGGATTAGCAGTTCATTTGAAGGTGAAATTAGAGTCAGGTGTTTTGAATCAATGGAATGACAATAAGCTGTGAGTAGGCGCTCTGTTTTATTTTAAGAACAGGGATCTATCAAAGTCTGCTCTTCACAACACGTTTGTGGAAGTGTAACATGGCATGAACGAAGGGGATTTCTGAGGACCTCGGAAAAAGAGTTGTTGATGCTCATCAAGCTGGAAAAGGTCACATAACCATCTGTAAACAGTTTGGTTTCCACCAATCCACAATCAGACAGATTGTGTTCACATGGAGGAAATTCAAGACCATTGTTACCCTCCCCAAGAGTGGAGACCAACAAAGATCCCAACAAAAGAGCAAGATGTGTAATAGTCCACGAGGTCACAAAGGAACCCAGGGTAACGTCTAAGCAACTAAAGTCGTCAGTCACACTGGCTAATGTTAATGTTCATGAGTACAGGAGAACACTGAACAACAACGGTGTACATGGCAGGGTTGCAAGGAGAAAGCCACTGCTCTCCAAACAGAACACTGCTCTGTTCATCTTCAGAAGTCAGAAGGCTATTGTAAAAATTCTTTCTATTTATAGAGCGAAATAGAACGTTTTAGTTTAAATGAGAAGCGTTATATTTGGAGAAAGGAACACATGGCATTCCAGCATAAGAACCTTATTCCATCCGTGAAACATGGTGGTGGTAGTATCATGGTTTGGGCCTGTTATAGAGACAGATAGTAAAGCTTTATTTCTATAGCACTTTTAAAAACAATGTTTACAAAGTGCTTTACAGAAGACATACACTAAATACACAAAAATAAACTAAAAAAAACTCAAATGAAATAAATAAAAGAAATAAAATGCGGTGCGCATGGAGGATTAGTGGTTAGCATGTTCGCCTCACACCTCCAGGATCTGGGGTTCGATTCCCCCCCGTGGCCCTGTGTGTGTGGAGTTCGCATGTTCTCCCCGTGCTGCAGGGGTTTCCTCCGGGTACTCTGGTTTCCTCCCCCAGTCCAAACACATGCATGGTAGGCTGATTGGCGTGTATAAAGTGTCCGTAGTGTATGAATGGGTGTGTGAGTGTGTATGTGATTGTGCCCTGCGATGGGCTGGCACACTGTCCAGGGTGTACCCCACCTTGTGCCTGATGCTCCCTGGGATAGGCTCCAGGTTCGCCGCGATCCTGAAAAGGATAAAGCGGTATAGAAGATGGATGGTTGGATGGATGGAAATAAAATGCATGGTAAATAAAACAGAATAAACAAAGAAATACAAATAAAAAAAAAAGAGGAAAATTAACCGGTTTGAGGAAAGTCCCCGTGAACAAATGCACTTTAAGATAAGTGCTAATTAAATGAACTGCACATAGGTTGTTTTTTTTCTTTTTCTTTGCAGCTTTATTCTGAACTCTTCGTAAGTGTTTATTGGAGCTGTTTGGTAAGCCAACCAAAACACCACTGCAGTAGTCGAGTCTAGATGTAACAAATGCATGTAGGAGTTTCTCACTACCTCTGGGGGAAATATCACATACTTTAGAGATGTTACGCAGGTGATAATATTCTGTTTTACAAACATTGATAAAAGGTTTTTTTTGTTTTATTAGTTTTTTTTTTATATAAATTGAGATCACTGTCAAACACAACCCCTAAATTCTTAACGCTATACCTTTTAATTACACCAGCTAATGGCAACATACATGAGTTAAATAACAAATGACGCGAAATTGAGCCTTGGGGAACAGCCTAGCCTATAACTAGCCTATAAATCTATAACTAGCCTATAAATCCGGACATTTTATTCCCAGTAGTACGTATGGAACGTGTTGCACACAAGAAAAACAACATCTCCCACAATCCATCGCGAATCCGTCACGGAAATGACGTCGCTGCAGACCAACACTCGTTCCAGAAATAATCATCCAAGATGTCGGCGCCCGTGGAGGTCCTGGTTACTGCTGATTCCGCGGGGCAGCTGTGGAACTGCGCTATTTTCGACCCTCACACCGGAACAAATCTCCTCTCCTACCGAGGGGGGAATTCATCTGCCCGCTCTTTAACGATCCTCAACGGGGAGTACATCCTCGGAGCTCAACTCGGCAAGAACTTCATCAACGTGTGGGAGATACAAAGAAAGGTAAGAGGAGACCAAACACACCCCTTCCACCTCTAGCTCCACCTCTAGCTCCACCTCCAGCTCCAGCCATCAGTCAGTCAAACTGAGTTCAGATGACGTCACTGCAATGGTCATGATCGACCAGAATCAAAGAGATTACAGTTATAAATATAGGCCTAATTGTCTGTTCAGTCAACCTTTTCATTCATCCATCTTCAGTAACTGCTTTACCCTGGTCATGGTGGTGGATCCAGGGCCTAAACTGGGAACCCTGGGTGCAATGCACTGGTTACTATAGGGCACCATGAACACTTTATCTGCAGCGCTCTCCAAAATTCCAACGTGGCCCACAGACCGATATTAACTGACCTGCGGCGTCTCTCATATGAAGTATGATACTCCGACACGTTGCAGGGTTTCCTTTTCACCTGACCGCGTCAGCAGTCGCGTGGCTAAATGGTAAGATCCCGGTAGTGCCTACTCAGCGAGGCATGAGGTCTTTTTCCAGAACCTTCAAACTGACTGCCCGAGTGGTGGAATGACCTTCCAACTTCAATACAGACGGCAGAACCTGTCACCGTCTTCAAGAACCGGCTGAAGACCCCACCTCTTCTGTGAACACTTGACTAAACCCCTAACTTGTCTTTTGATGCGGTCTAATCTGACTCTCCTTTGAGGAAAAAAAATTCATAATAGTTTGGACACCTCTGAACTGTTATCATGTTTTTGGACTGTATTAGGAAACCAGGGAACCCAGAGGGGAACCCGCACAAAAACAGTAACCTGCTCTTGAACCAGGGATTCCGGAGCTGTGAGGTGGTAACACTACCCGCTGAGTGAGATGGGAGTAAATTAGGATTTAAAACCCCTGGACTATTGCATTTAAGGGTGCTTTCGCAGCGATTAGTCCATTCGCCAGGTCCGAAACAGAGCGGAATTAATACTTTTTGTTTCATTTGCTATTTGCTTTGACGTTAGACATAATTAAATGAACCAGAAAGAAATATCAATAATTAGACCTTTTTGTGATGTAAATAAATGAAACTAAGTTAAATCATGTCCGAAACGTTTGCGCTTTTATTGTGAAACTGATTATATAACAGAAATGTTTTAGGAAAAACAAAAGATAAACAAAAAACTTCCAATACCCAGCTTACCTAAGTGCGCACACCCTTTTATAACGGGAAACGTAGCAGTGTTCAATGCTAATTAGTATACACCTACCATCAATTAAAGTGACTGGTTATCCCCAAATAAAGTACAGCTGTTTCTATAGGATCTTCTTGGTAACATCCAACTAGAAAAGTAAGAAATATAAACAAAAATAAAACATTTGCGAGGCTTTGGATATACCACGGAACACTGTAAAGATGAAAATCAACAAGTGGAGATGACCGTGACATTACTGAAAACGGAACAGCCCTCTAAAATTGATGAGAAGGTCAGGAGGAAACTGGTCAGGGAGGCTGCCAAGAGGCTTACAGCAACATTGAAAATAATTGCAGCCATTTCTGGTAAGCACTGGTTGCTCCCTACATGTGAACGATCTTCTGAATTCTTTACTATGGGGTTGAGTTGCAAGACGGAAGCCTTATTTAAGTGAGAAAAGCCTCCAAACCCACATCATGTGGAATAATGTGTCATGGCCTGCTGAGACCAAAGTTCAACTTTTTGGACATGATACCAAAAGATATGTTTGGAGCAAAAAAACAAAACAAAACAAAAAACCACTAAAAGAACATCCACATGGGGAAGCATGGTGGTGGCAGTGTCATGCATTGGGGCTGCTTTTCTTCAGCTGGAGCCGGGGCATTAATCAGGGTTTAGGGAATAAAGAATAGCTCAAAATACCAGTCAATTTTAGCGCAAACCCTTAAACACTTAAGATGAAGATGTCAGCATGACAACAACCCAAAGCAAACCTCCAGATCAAAGGAATGATGTCCCAAACTTATCGACTCTTACCCAAAAAGATTGAATACTGTGATAAAATCTAAAGGTGCTTCAACTAAGTATTAGTTCAGGGGTGTGCAAACTTATGCAACCAGGTTATTGTCCTTGTTTTTTGTTTTTTTTTTTGGAATCACTTTCTACTGAAAATGTTCCATGCTTGGTTTGTTGTACTGGGGATGATTTCACGTTGATGAAGCCAGATTTTCATTGTGGTAATGGACGTCAATGAGTCTAAATCAAGATTTTGAGACCTTTACACAGGGGCTTTGAAATTCAGTCCTCTCCCAGTCTTTATTTCTGTTTCCTTATGGCTGTAAAGGGTTGTATAAGGTTCGGTGGAACAGGGAATGAGGCTGGTGTTCAAAATACTTTCATTAGAGTCTCTATGATGGCAACTTACATGGCGGTGTAAACATTCATTAACAGGATGCTTCCAAACTATCTGGACAATACATCTGCACTTAGTAGTAGTGTGATTCACACACTGGTCACTTTATTAGGAACACTAAAACTGGTTCTTGGCCCATTAATTATGAGTCCACAGGGGGATTCTTTTCTTCGCATATTGAACTCCTGGCCTTCTTAACAGTAACCCAGAGCCTGGCAGCGCTGGGACATGAACCCCCGACCCAGAGCCTGGCAGCGCTGGGACATGAACCCCCGACTCAGAGCCTGGCAGTGCTGGGACATGAGCCCCCAACCCAGAGCCTGGCAGCGCTGGGAAATGAACCCCCGACCCAGAGCCTGGCAGCGCTGGGACATGAACCCCCGACTCAGAGCCTGGCAGCGCTGGGACATGAACCCCCGACTCAGAGCCTGGCAGCGCTGGTACATGAACCTCCGACTCAGAGCCTGGCAGCGCTGGGACATGAGCCCCCGACCCAGAGTCTTGCCATGCTGGGACTTGAACCCCCAACCCAGAGCCTGGCAGCGCTGGTAAATGAACCCCCGACCCAGAGCCTGGCAGTGCTGGGACATGAACCCCCAACCCAGAGCCTGGCAGCGATGGGGCTTGAACTCCCGACCTTCCAATCAGTAACTCCGAGCCTGGCAGCGCTGATGCTTGAACCCTCGACCTTCCGATCAGTAACCCAGAGCCTGGCAGCGCTGGGGCTTGAACCCTCAACCTTCCGATCAGTAACCCGGAGCCTGGAAGCGCTGGGGCTTGAACCCCCGACCTTCCAATCTGTAACCCAGAGCCTGGCAGCGATGGGGCTTAAACCCTCGTATTTGTCATGTTCATGGGACATAGTTCATTTTTAGACTACTTATATTTTGTTACACTTATTACACTGAAAGATGGGAAATTGTTCTCATAAAGTGATGTAAGTGATCAGCAACAGTATTCATATTGGCTGTGACATTCAAACAATGCTCGATTGGTATCGAGGGGCCAATGTGTGCCAAAAAAACTTTCCACACACCATTACACCACCAGCAGCCTGAAGTCAGTTTGGGTCCACGGATTTGTGCTCTTTATACAATCTCATTATTATCTCCATGTCACAGCAGAAATCAAGATTCATCATACCAGGTGATCTTTTCCAATCCTCAAATTGTTCTTGTTACAATGAGCCTGTGCCCAGTGTAGCCTCAGATTCCTGTTCCTGACCAGCAGGAGTGGAACCTGATGTAGTCATCACCTGTTGTAACCTATCTGCCTCAATTTTTGATGTATCGTGCTTTCCGCGATGCTTTTCTGCTCACCAGAGTTGTAAAGAGTGCGGGTTTTTGAGTTACTGTAGCCCTCCTGTCAGCTCAAACCATTCCGACATCCTCAGACTTCTCAAACAAAAACCCATTTCCACCCACAGAACTGGCACCAACAACCATGACGCGGGCAAAGTCACAGAGATCAGAGACTTCCACGTCC